GACCTAAACTAGGATGAAATAGCTGTCTGGCAGTACTCCCTGTTGGTTTTCCAATGGTTCTCTAACTGATATCGGCTCATGATGAAATCCTTCATCCAATACTTGAAAATAAACTTAATAATCTGGATTGTTCTGTGTGACCACTTCATGGAATTATCTACAATGATAGATAATCCATTTTTGTTATTGTTATGTGTACTAATTTGTAAATGTTCATCCACTCGTGCATTTAGTATATTCATGAATTAATTAATAAGCGTTGTATTACATTGTCTTGTGTATATTTGCTTTCTAATTAAGTAAATAAGAACATACGTTTATCATCGTATTGCATTTTATTCTAACTCCATTTGTTATTGCTATATTTTGGTTTTATCTGTTAGATATAACAGCCATTGAAAGTTGAAAAAGTGATGAAAAGGCCAGTGTTAGGAGGTGTAAGACAGGGAAGTCAATCGATGCTGTTGTGATGATGCATCGATTGAGATGGTTAGTAGGACACACGTGTTACGCATCCTGAGCCACCGGCCTTTTTGGACAAACAATGTTGTCAGCTGACTTAGGTTTGCTTTGGAAAAGTGTTACGGGTAGTCTATTCAAAATGTATAACATTAATCGATGATATCTTTGCCAGTTTGGTTTAAGTCACATAGGGAGGTATAGATTGGCTGGTTGGAGGCTTCAGAGGATACTAATAGCCAATGCCTGGAGATTGTTGGTGATGTATTGCTGAAAACGTTCTCAATGATGTAGATGCATCGAATTAACTCTCATGTTTGTTTTCATTTAAGTAATCTATCTCACGTACATTAATACTCATTATAGATCGTCCAGATCTCTACCTTTAGTAATGTTGTGTGTTCAATTTCGCCTGTGAAGTGTTGAAGCTAACTATACTGTGTAGGCTTTGATACAGTCCATTTGACTATCTATCCATCTGAATTTTGGTTATCATTATGACCACTAAAACCCTGGTGTTCTTGCGTGACTCTTAATAATAGTTCGAACTATTATTATTATGGTTTCTGATATGTCCATCAGGCGGAATCCATGTTGCTTTGTACATATCCTTGTGCTTGTACACGTTGCCTCCAATCACCAAATCATTGGAGGTGTCGAAGTCTGCGAAGGGTTCTCTGTTGTCATTTATTTCGTCGAACTAGAACCTCTCGGCCTATGATGAGTTCTCGTTCCCTATTGTTTGCTCCTAGTTCAGCTGGTATTACCCGAACTCCTCTCTTTTCCGTGCTCAGCACCGTCTAGGCGAGGTTCAGGAGAGTACACCGACAGGGAATCGGATCCTGATCAGATGTGTATTAGACAAAGATTCTACCCCAGAACTACTAACTTCAGTTAGTGTTTAATTTGTTTTACCAGTTATTTTTGTTTAGTACTCAATGAGAGAGAGAGTACTTCATGTTGTTTAACGTCGTAAAATAGGTAACTGTTCGTTGGTCAGTTTACAAGTCTTCATATTATGTGTGTATTACAGTGTGATCATTGTAGTAACATTGGTATTTCTTAAAATTGCTTAACTTTCAACCAGTTGGCTCGTGGAATTCAGGTACGTTAGGACAACAGGAGAATTATAATCAGAAAAGGTCGACTTTGAAAATTTTGCATCGCTAACATACATTGTGTCGGTATGTGAAGAAGAAATCAACTTCCATGGCGTGGGCATCCAGGAAATGATACCTATCTGGACGCTTCTATAAACATACAAAGCTATCCTTATCGTCGTCTATTTTCATCTGAATTCTTAGTGGTATAAAAAAGGGGCGAACGTTTTGTCCCGAAGATTCATTGATTAAACCGAAGTCGTCTAGCTTGCATACGTAAATCATGTGACTAGTAGAACGTTTGGTAGATATATTACTGTTTCTCCATGAGCTGATTATAGTCTTTTATCACCGAACTGATTGTTTTTACGCTGCATTCATCGTAATTCTACATTAATTTGTTTATTAGACTAGACATATCACATGGTGAAACAGTATTATTATTTACTGGATGACAAGGTTTCGAACAAAATCTATGATTGTTCATAATCATCTCGTCAACTATAATCACACGACTTCGAAACTTCGGTTTTATAGTTTTCTTTATTCCTTCCTGTTAGTTTTAGGGGTAGTAGAATTTTTCAGATGTCTGAGTGGCCAGGTGTTGAATCATTCCTATTACACTCTGTTTGCAGTTGATTCGATAAACAAAGCTTCCTCTGTCATCAATCTCTCCCTCCACCCTGCTGATACATTCGATTTTAAAACTGTCATCTTATCCCATCCCATCCTATTGTATGGTTGTGTGTAACTGCATGTTGTGAGTGGTATAGCTGAACTATTCTCTAGATTTCTTATCTTATTCGGCTCAACTAATCTAGATTTTTAGCTGCTTGGCATTTATTTATGTTCGGCTAGTCTAACTGACTCTGTTCTACTACTTTTACCTACATACTTGACTTGACAATCATTGCAGACAGGGTATTAGATTGACTGAATTGTTTTGTTTTAAAGGCTCCATCGGATTTATCCTTTAACCGACAAAGCTTGTTTCTAATTGAGTTTGTGGTCGGTTTGAATTCCAGCCACTTTTATTCCTGCCTTGTTAAGAATTCCGCGTAAGGTGGTTTCCGAGATTCCTTCCTTGTATGGAATTACTACTGATGATTTAGATTCCTTATTGTTGGTATTGTCATTATCTTGTGCATATTTGATATGCATGTCATTATTATTATTTATTCTATTCTTACATTTCCTTACATATTTCCTGACTAATTTGCTCGGGTAATTATTAAGTTTCAAGGCTTCTTTTATGTGTATCACTTCCAGTCTTAGATATTCTTTGGTACTACTTAGTTTTTGTGCCTGTATCAATTAAACATTTCACCAATCCTATCTATACTGATATAGAGTGGTTGGGATGATCGGAAATCCAAATATCTGTTTGAATCTGTGGGTTTCCTGTAAACACACACTAGCGTGTTTAACTTTCCATCTTCTTTCCTTTTTACGTTGCAATCTAACATTGGAAGCTCCCCTGCTTCCTGACTTTCTAATTCATAAGTAAATTGAATTGCCTCGACCTTCTTGAGTTAATGTGTCCGAAAAATCTATCTATAACCTGTGAATGTGTCATCTACATACCTCCACCATACTTTTGGATTGGGGGCTGATCGTTTCAATCGTTAAGTTTTCCCACTTATCCATGAATATACTTGCCACAACCGGGGATATTGGTGACCCCATGGTAACCCCCTCAGTTGGTTTGATTATTTTTCCTTGGAATTGAAATACTGTGTGAAGGTCAGGCATAGCTGTACTCCCAGCATTATATCCTTTAGTGTTACGTTTGTTCTAACTTCAAGTTCTTGGTCGTTTCTGACTGTTTCTATAGTCATATTTATCGGTATAAGTGTATATAAACTGACAGTGTCAAAGCTTAGTTCTTCATAAGCATTTGTTAGTCTAGATTATGAGTGGCTTCTAAGACGATTTAATACGGTAGCATTTGTCATCAGCTTTGTAAATGAAATTCATCCATTCCGTTGACTAAGATCGCTTTGTATACAGACTTTTAATCGCTTTTATAGTATTTTATATTACTAGGAGAGAACTGTTTCATATGAACTGAAATCCTTTTTATCGTTATTTTTATCATATTTTATTTATTTGCGTTAAATTCATTCCACTCAACAGTAAATAAATAATTCTAACCGGAAATCTACAATTATATTTTGGTAGTTTTGTATTTTAAAATCATATAATTTATTAAGTAATACTCATTGTGTCGGTAATCTTTTCATAGTTTTCGTTTATATCGAAGATGTCGTCTTTTATTGGCTTTAAACACTTGACTTTCAGCCAGCCAATCAATAGGTTTTGGGTTCGAATTTTACTCCAACTATTTTAGCCTGGCACATAATAAGTGTAGCTCACCGACCGCTACTAATGGAAACCATATAACTCACAGAGTTCCACTCGAACCCCAAGGGAATGGTAATAAATAATTTTGTGGGCACCAACTTGACAGTTTTCACATCCCCCCTACATGGTTGGTTTAAACCAACAGTCAGAGATTTCATGGGTTGGTGGTGTAACGTCTCTGACTGTGTATAAGTATATGAGTGACGCGGATTTGCAACTCAGTGGGGGGGGTGCATAAGCCCCGTCCCCCTCCTTAAAGATTGTAAATATGTCTTGATAACAAGGACCAGTCAATAATATACACGAAGCATAGGTTCACAGTCTCTGTAAGGATTTCCCTTCAACGTCGTAAGATCGTTCAAAATTATCAATAGGCAAAAGAGTTCAGTTCTCCTCCAGTTTGCCGAAGTGTAATCTACATTAAGCGCCTGAAAATCCAATTTATGTGTTCAGAAAGAAGCAGTTATCAATCTTTACTTGCCAACCTGGTAACTGGATATTTTCACCTCCCTTTCATCTGACTACGTAATGCCGAAAGTTTCTATTGTGTATGATCATTTTTGTTCGGGATAAAGTGTTTATTATTATATATATTATAACTATGCATATATTGACTGACTGATTTTTGTTTAAAAATGAACTCTCTCTCCTTGCAAGTATGTTAAAATTGTTTCTGTAGGTATATTTAATAATGACTTTGGCCTGTAAGCAGCTGAGCTGATGAGAAGCCAACGAAATAAACAATTTTTTTCCCTTCACGTTCCCCACTGGAAGTTTCTGTAGCAACGTTTATTTAACAGGATGGAGTTGCTAGCCTCATGCCCAACTTTTCCTCTTTACCAGCATTATTTCTGGCTCAGCGAGGTAAAGGAGTGCCTTGTCGGCCGGGGATCGAACCCCGAACCGTGTGCATGGTCGGCGAACGTCCTAACCACTATACCACCGACGCGAATAAACAATGATGGTATCATTTTGATTCCGCGCAAATCACTGTTGCCGTTCTTGCTTTATTCAAAATCTATTTTTATTCATATTACTTTTATTTTTTTTCTTTTCCCATCCTGTCTGTCTCTACAGGTCGTGTTGATTTAGAACATTGTGAATGTATTGTTGAAAATGTTAATATTGGTGGTCAACCGTGTGCTTTTTCACTGACAACCTTATTCAATGGACATAAGCGAATTTATTATTTCATTGCTGCAGATAACAAAATTATGTCAGATTGGGTACATCAATTGGCTCGTGTAGCTGAATTAGTTGATTTCTCTGCTATGAATACAGGTACGATTATTATTATTATTATTTCTCTTAATTCCTAGAGGAACGTACGGCTTCAGACTCACGTCTACATTGCGCATTCGGTTCTTTGCCAACGTTCTCACCTGGCTTCACGTATGCCCACATGCTTTCATCTCCTCTTCACATGACCTCCCCCAAGTCACCCCACCTTCAAACTGACGATCAACTTGCCGCTTCCCTTTCGGGTTCCAATCGAGCGATAGCTTGTCTAGTGATGCCACTTGATGGTTTCCTCAGAATATGGCTAATCCATCTCGGTTTCTTCCTGCCTATTTGTTTCATAATCGGTTCCTGGTTGGTTGGTTCGCTCATCTCTGTTTCTGATCTTTTCTGGCCATCTGATCTCGAGTAGTATTGAGCTAAGACAGCTGTTGATGAAGGTCTGTGGTTTGTTTGAGATTGTATTTATGGCGCGCCAAGTCTCTGGTCCGTATAGTGAGTAGCATTGACTTCACATTTCAGTTGAAAATCCGGATGTTATTTTCCATTCTGAGTAGTACTGTTGACCTACACACAGACTTGAGAGTAATGAAAGCTTGTCTTGATTTTCCTATTCTGGCTTTGATATCCTCGTCAGTTCCATTGGCCTGTAGTTGAAACGATGCTTCCCAGGTAGGTAGGTAAAGGAGGTTGTTTCTTCCAGGTTCCTCCCATTTATGCTGGCTGATTGTTGTCTGTTGTTGTTGTTGCTGTTGGTGTTGGCCAGGAATCTTCATCACCACATCTGTTTTCTCTATGTTCACCTGAAGTCCCTCCTATCTTTGATGCTTCTGTCGCCAACTTGTTGATTTTCAGTTGCATATCTCCCGGTTTGTGGGAAATCAGACACATATTTTTTAAAATGTTTTTATTTTTGATTACAGCATGATTCCACACTGTAGTTTTGGTACAAGTATGGAATTTTCTGCATGAATATCGGTAGCCCAAATTTCGCAGGCCGACCATAGATATCAGGTGTGCGCCGGCGTGGGCTCGAACCTCGGACCATGTGCATGGTCGGCGAGAGCCATAATCACTGTGCCACCGACGCACAACATGGGCGAAGTCCATATCCCCCAAGTTTTTTGTATGAGTCCATTTTATGCCTGTTTCCTTATTGCCCGTTGTCTGTCGCATTATCCAATTTACTGCAATCAGGAAAATCATTGGCGATAGTAGACAGCCTTGCCTCACTCCCGTTGTGGATTACTTGGCATGCGGCATTATCGTACAACTGTTGGCTGAGATGTATAATTGTCGGCGGCACCTCGTAGTAGCGAAGTAGTTTCCAAATCACCTCTTGATCGACGCTGTCTGCTGAATGCTTTTTGAAAGTCGATGAAGTTGAGATAGCGAGGTGACTGCCATTCGAAGCTTTGTTCAATGATGATCCATAGTGTGGCGATTTGATCAATACATGACTTGTTTCTCCTGAATCCAGCTTGTTCCAGTCGAAGTTTTTCATCCACGGTGGTTTGTTTGATTCTCTCCACTATTATTATCATCATTTAGATTATACTTTTTGCTGGAATTTGGGTTTCTTTCTAAGTGGATTTGGTTACTAGCTAACATCATATAGAGATCAGCGAAAACCAGGAAGCACTAGATAGTTACTTCGTCCTAGTTTGGGACTCTTCATCAGAAGAACTCCCTGATCTCACCGCGGACCGAACTCCGGACCCTTCAGGTATTGAGACCAAGCTCGTTGACTGTTCAACCGATTGGGCCGGAATTCAGTAGTGACCCATGAATTCTAATTTGTATCAATTCGTGATAACTGACAAATGCCTTCCATGAATATCTAATTTACTTTGATATGGTGAACGCTACTGTTTACAACTTCACAGTACATCTTCATCAAATCTACTCAGGAGACATCAATGAGCTGGAGATTGATATTTAGATACTGATTGGAGGATTTCATCATGAGCTTAAATAGGTTAGAGAACCATTGGAAAACCACCTGAGAGTATTGGATAGTCAGCTGTTTCGTCAGCCTAGTTTGGAACTCTTCACCAGTATGCACCCATCCTACTGTGGTTCGAACCTAAGACCTTCTAGTTACGACTACAAGGAAAGCTCGTAGACCATTATGCCACTGGGATCCGATCCACCGGCCAATCAGTCCATGAATTCTAACTTCTGCCAATTCTTGAAATAGCACGACCACTTCGTAATGTCTTCTTCGATGAGTTACTGCCTCACCTTAGGCCTGCTGTACCCTACTGGTTACGGCTTCCCAGTAGAACCCAGGTAACTGACTACCTACCTGAATGGAGCCAGTCGGGCTGGATTAGGTCCCAGTGGCTTAATGGTCTACGAGCTCGCTTTGTAACACTAACCAGAAGGTCCTGGGTTCAAACCCCTGTGGGTGCGTACCGATGAAGAATCCCGAACTAGGCTGAGGAAACAGCTGTCTGGCAGTACTCCCTGTGGTGGTTTTTCCAATGGTTCTCTAACTGATGTCAACTCATGATGAAATCCTCCAACCAATCAAACAAACTAAATCCCTTCAAAAACCAATACTTGAAAATTTTGAGTTGAAATAATTCATATTCCTAAAAGTTCAATAATCTAAGTATTAATCTTCTATTCACTGATAGCCACTAAATAGATCTTTTTTAAGTTATACCTAGAAGTTTCGTGACCGGTGTGTTCCTCCACCATTTAAAAGGCGAAGCGGATACTCATCGCAGGTATTGTTTCATGGTACCTCTGTATCACAGATTGAAAGAAATTCAATTTCACGGGTCAGTGGATTCCAACCCAAATGGCTGAACAGTTAGCGAACTTGGTCTTGTTACCTGAAGGTCCGTGGATTCTGTCCTTGGTGGGGTAGCTAGTTTGTACTTCTAAGGAGTCCTGAATTAATATGGATGGGACATCTGTCTGGTGCCTCCTAGTTTTCTCCAGTGATCCTCACATTGTGAGACTATTATTTTTTTCTTTCTATGTATTTTTACGAATAAGATTAGTGGATTATTGATTTCTGGTTAACTTTTAAGTGATATTCTTGTTAAAAATTGCGCTGGAGTCGACTTTTTTTGTTTCCACCCATGTAAAAGTCCTTCTATATTATCTGATTTGCCTAGTAAGACAACTCCGCTATCTTTGTCTACATATCCATTGATGAAGTCTTTATCTGATAATATTAGATGGTTACAGGGAACCGGCCACACGAAGACTTCCACCTAGGTTTCTTGCTAGTTGGCAGTCACCAGTCAGGAAGATGTATCTTCAACCGTGAAACAACTGATGTCCACTCTGAGATTCGAACTTGCGTGACCCAGTGCTGCAGTCAGTCAGAGACGTAACCACTGTGCTATTCGACCTCGCTGTTGACCACCTGTTGGTCTATATTGGATACTTTGATTGGACACTAGTAACTAGTGTGATGTTGTGGTGAGAGCAGGCTGTTAGCCTATTGGTAGACATTAATTTACGTCAATGTCCAAGTCACTAATATTCGCCGTGAGAAAATATGAGCAAGGCTGACTCAACAACCAATCACAGCAGGCTTGACGTGGGCAAGTAAGATTCGCAGATATATGGCTTAACTTTCCGACAAACACGAAACAAACAATCAGAAGACTGTGTTTGTCTGCTTGAATAAGCTATAATAATGTACACGAAATATATATATATATATACGTGGTGATTTCCGTAATAAAAGGATCCGTTGCCGGCCCTTCTCTTCTGTTGTTACAATGAGTCTAGTCCCTTCTTTGGTGATGCCGAGCTACCTAGAATGCTGGCCACATTGCAAACCAGACTGATAGAGAATTCAGTCCACACCAAAGAAAGGACTAAGCACATCACACTAGTAACTACTACTGTCCAATCAAAGAAGTCTTTATCGTCGGCCACTTAGTTCATTTCTCCAATGGGTCTCCAAATAAGCTTGGTATACCTTCTTAAATTACACATCTGTTTTTGACTCGGTCGCTTTTGTTAAACAAGGTAGTTAAGACACAAGCAGGGTTCTGGACTAATATGTGCTTGTATTCCTATTTTTCTGATATAAAGCAATACTCTGTTTACAATGGGAAGTCGTCCGCTGCGTCACCTCCTCTAGCTGGTGTTCCTCACGGATCTGTTCTTTCTCCTTTTCTCTTTTCTTCCTTTTTGCATGACTTACCTAATTCTGACGAAGCTAACTTTGTTAAGTATGACGATGATCTGACAGTTTCTCTACCGACGGTTACTTCTAAGTCAGATTGTTCCAAAAGGAATAACTTCTTATCAGAAATTAGTCAGTGGTCTTCGTCAAATGGTATTAAGCTTAATCCCTCCAAATGCCAGGTGGTCAATTCCATTTTCATATGCAAGCGTTACTTACATGAACTTGTTAGTTCGCACCGTTCCACTATCATAGACGAGTTAGGGGTTGAAACTAAATCACATGTTAAATATACATTGCACTGTGTATCTCCTCTGATCACCTTTCCTGGTATTCCCACATTATGTTACTTTCTAGAAAGACATTTCGCTTAATCTTCTACGTAAGGAAGTTAAGACGATCTGGCATCAGTCAATTAAATTGATCGTTTGGTCGGTGGTTGGAATGTGAACAATGAATGTCATACACCGGATTCTCTCGATTTCGATTGGTGCAGACTGAATTCTGTTAGTCAAGTTTTCAAATTTGGTCATCTTTATTTGGACATTATTTTTGCTGTACAATTAAACCACCTGCTGTCCTTACTGACGATCAAGTGGCTGACAGAAAAGGTTTATCAAAATGGAACCTCTAGGACTGTGTAGATATTCAATAACCTATTGGACACTTCCTAGGGAAACCTTTGAGTGATATGACACTCCAAGTTGGTACCACCATCTTCCAAAAGAACCCGAATGGGAAACAAGGTGGACATGGGTAATAGCAGGGTGACACAGAGGAGATTGAGTCAGCTAGAGGAAGGATTGCAGTGGAACACGAGAAGACAGCTGTGTTCTATCGAAGCTCTACTTGTCACTCAGAGAGAACCTAATGGCAATAACGATAAACCCTGTGTCACAATGAATGATGAATAAGGCTTAAGTGTTTGCAAGAGTGGCTATTGATGGTGATAAATGCATAGGAGAAAGAAAATAAATAAATTTAATGAACAGCAAGGCATAGCGTGTACAATGAATAGTTAAATGTTAAATTAGCTGAAAGCCTTTAGTGGCTAGAACTTAGCTACCTGGCTAAGACGCGTTACCTTTTGAATATTTCTTGATATTTTTACCAGTAACTTGCACATAGGCATATATCACCGATGAATGACGCAACTCCTTTCTACTCGATTATTTTTTATGATGAAAGATACGTATATATACATCTTGAATAACTGTAGATACTGTGTGATACTGTGCGTTTCCTTTTATCTTCTAAATAAGAATTATGGAGAAATATGTCTTATCTCCGTCTTATTTCCTGTATAAACATACACACACACACAAAGAAATCAAATATGTTATCTAACTATTCTTTCTGATCTCTTCATTTCTGCTTCGTCTTGACTTTCCCTCCTCTCCCTCTGTGTGTGTGTGTGTGTGTGTGAGTTAAGCACTTACAACATCTGTCAGCTTCTCTAGTGAGAAAAAGGATTTTGGTCGTTGGTCAGATTTGTGTGTGTGTGTGTCCCACAAGTCTTCATCGGCCTTATTCAACAGTTGGCTATATCACAACGTCACATATCAGGTGAACCACAACGGAAAACTCAGCGAATTCAGGAGCAAGACAAGACTGCATACTATCACCGATGATATTCCTCATATTGGCAGAATGAAGTGTGCGTCAGACTGCGCACAAGGAGCGAGGAGTCAGGAATACGTCACACCAACGATAAGAAGACTCTAGAATATCTCGATTTAGGAGGTGATATATGTCTAATATCACACAAACTCGAAGACTTACGGGCATACGAAAACCAACAAACTGGCAGAAGAGGCTGACGGACAGCAAAGACAGGACTTCAGGTTAACACGGAGGTGATGACGATAGCCGACCAACCAACCAAAAGTAACAGCAACCAGCACCAATCACCTACAAAGGGAGAGATTTAACAGAGGTTACTACTTCCTTCACTCATCTCGGAAGCATAGTTTCAACCACAGGCAGGCATGATGGATGAAGATGTCAAAGCCACCCAGTCAGAATCAGGAAGGTAGGATAACGTCTTCATCAACCTGAAACTAGTTTAGAAATCTTGTGCATTCCGTGCCATAAATAACACGATTCGGATTCTATTCAACACACAAATGTGAAATCAGTCTGTTCTGCTAATACGAGTCATAAAACTTGCACTACGTGTCAGGAAAAAGGATCTCCAACAGGTTGAAGAGTTTCATCAACAGCTGCCTTCTGTGGCTCCATACAGAAGATCAAATTGCCGGCCACCCAGACTGAAATAGCGACAAGAAACTCTGGCTTGAAACAAACTAACAGGCGAGAGCCGATCGCTCAACAAATATGTAGGAGAAACTGGAGATGGATCGATCAGGCACACGTTGAGGAGGCTGTCGAATGTCATCGCGCTCACAATGCAGGTGATGTTTCCAGTGGAATACCAATGAGGAGCGACGAGTGCGTCGTCGGTGATAGTGTGACATGGAGGAAGAGGCGGATATGAGAGATTATGGTCAATCATGGAGCCAGCCAGGTAGATGAAGAGGACAGCAGGAAATCGAGCAGAGTGGAGATGTGTGCTGTTGAAGCCCCATGTTCCACTCGGAACCCAAGAGAGTAATAATAATAGTTGTCCAGATTTATGCGCAGGTTATACGCTGCTTCTAAAACACTGTTTGAAACACTTTTCTTGACTTGAAAATGCCTTGCGTATGCAGCCTCTTTCATCTTTCACTTACTGATTTAGAAGATAGTGGTGTCACATACCATGCCTCTCCGAGATTGTCAAGTGTAGTTAATTATTGCGTTCGAACTCACTTGTATTATTACTATTATTCCCATGGATTTTCGAGTGAACCAGCGATCTTTAACAACACATCTACATTTCAGTCTGTTGTTTGTTGTGGTGTTGTCTTGAGGGTCTATAATTTTTCATCTCCCTCTCACAGTCTCTTCCACTTTACTCTTGAACCATCGCTCGACTCATCGCTTCATTCAAATTCCACTCGAGAGGTTGTTGTGTATGCAATATCACTCAGTGGTCTCTTCAGCATGTTTGTTAAGCGATAAGTTTTTTCAGTTCGTTCCTCCGAGTTCTTTGTTGCTAATCCTTTCTGACCATCTGACGTGTCGCGTTGTCTGACGAAAACATTAAATATATGAATATAAAAAGACGCTGGCAAAATATACCAGAGTCTTCTGAACACCTTGACAGGAAGCAATCTGCGAATGTTTGGCATGCGATTCACACCTGCTGTGAAATGTAAGATGATGCTACAGGACTGGACTGGACTACATTGACTCCTAGCTTAGAAATAGGGAGTGAAGTGGTGGCTGAACGTGTGAACCACTTCACTTATTTGGGAAGTTGTAACACCCAGTGCTAACGGGTTGATCTCTAACGAAATCTCAGAACTGATACAGAAGGCTCGTTTTGCATATGCCAGTTTACACCGTCTCTGGCGTAGACGTGATATCCGGTTGACTGTGGAACAAAGGTCGTGTGTACTGCTCAGCAGTCCGCCCCGTCCTCTTTTATGGCTGGCTGTGAGACCTGGCTATTGAGAGTGGAAGACATGATGTGAAGTCTAGCTGTCTTTGATCGATCATAGGTGTCTGCGTTCTATCTCCCTACCGTGTTCGGTGGTAGGTGTAATAGGGTGAGCAATATTGAGGTTATGTGTCGGTGGAGAGTGCCAGGTAAAGAGTAGATATCAATAGACGAGGCTGTGAAGCAACATTGACTGAAATGGTTAGGACACGTGTTACTCATGCATACCCAGCCATCTCCTCCCTCTACGGGATATGTTAGTTGACATAGGATCATGTTGGAAAAGAGCCAGTGGTCAAGACAAAACATGGTCTCATCAGTCGATGAAATCCACAACAGTTATTTTAAGCCAGCTAGTCACGTAAGAAAGTGTAAATTAACTTCCTGGTTGGGGTACTTGGGACGGTGAACACCAATGAGGACTGGAAAAAATTGTTGATATGGCTCAAAATCGTTCTCACTTATGGTGCAGATGAATCCACTCCTTGTCACGTTTAATAATTGTTCTTCAATATTACCATTCATTCTGTCTCATATCTATGTTTACTGTCTCTAGTTAGCGTTTGTTTCTACTTTCTTCTCTTTGGTTCTGTGTGCTGAGTGAGGTATGGCACCTTGAAGTGCTGCACATCTGTACAAAGTTGTGTTGAAACCAGTCAGTCAGTCAGTCAGAATATAAAAACATTTACAAATTCGCGGACTAACTAATTTACTTATTTGCTAACATCCTTTCCTCTCTTTTCATATTTATAGATGTGAATCCAAGTCAACCAGTGGGGAATAGCTCTGCTGGTGTCAATATTAGTAATAGTAGTTGTAATGTACCACCTCTATCCCAAAGGCCATTAAAAACGCCTATTGATAATTCCATGAATCCAAATCCCGCTGACGAAATCAAATCGCCTGCTAATAGTCCCAATAATCATTTGGTAGATGATAATGAGGATGGTTATAGAGATATTGTTGGTGGTGTAAGTTGGATTTTTTGTGGTTATGAGGTTTCTAAAAAAAACAAACTATTGAACATTGAATGTGCATAATTTCGCGTATTTTAAAATTAGTACGCTACTTCAGATGGCTGGAGGCAATCAGCCACAGGAAACCTTCCACCTAGGTTTCCTGCTGGTTGGCACTCATCAGATAGTAAGGCGTATCTACAACCTTGACGGAACTCATAACATATATTGTCATCTGAATTGATAACAACCAGTGGTGTCCGACAGGGATGTCCACTTTCCCCATTTCTGTTTAACTTCATCATAAATATGCTAATGGAAGTATCCCTAACTGAACGTAACGACTTAAGAATCGACTTGTTACCAGGGTATAGTCTTATGGACTTAGAATATGCAGATGACATAGTCCTGTTAGGGGAGGATGCTGACAAAATCCATCAGAGTCTTCTGAACACCTTGACAGGAAGCAGTCTTCCTATGTTTGGCATGCGATTCGCCCCTGTTGTAAAATGTAAGATGCTGCTACAGGACTGGACTAAGTCAACTCCTAGCTTAGTGATAGGGAGTGGAGTGGTAGAACATGTTGACCACCTCACCTATTAAGGCAGTTGTATCACCACCAACGGACTGATTGGCGACGAAATGCGCCTCCGCCCTCTCACTTCGGTGCTATACACCTCCGCCACGTGAAGGCAGTGAGTGGGACTTCCTCAGGAGAGGCTGTGTAAGACGCCTGGTCATATGGGAGCATTTCAAGAGGTGTACGGAGGGGTGGCCTACCCGCAACGCAAGGCACCCACCTCCGACCATCCTGAGGCTTTAGAGACTAGCTACCTGACTTCCTCAGTTTAACTGTCAAGGATTTCATGAATTGAGGAGGCCATGTTTTGTTTGGCCACCACTCTCACTCTTTTCCAACCTGCATCTTTATCAGAGAATAATACCCGTCAGGGAAGGCGATGGTCAGGAATGCGCACCACATCACCTAGCCATCTCAATCTATGTAACTTTATAGCCTCGACGATTGATTTTCCCTCTTTCCCCGACACTACGCCCAACGTCAACATTACTTACCTTATGATACCACCTAACGTGAGAAAGAGATCGTAGACGTCTATGATCGAAACCAGTCAACCTTTTCATGTCTTCAACTCGTATTGGCCATGTTTCAGA